ACACACACACACACACACACACACACACACACACACAAAACCGGGGGGGGGGGAGAGGAAGATATAACAACTACAATTTTTTTGAAAAGTTCTTACAACAAGCAAATGGAAAGGACATGCTTGGGTGGGAGGGGGGAGAGGGAGGAGGGAGGGAGGTTTCGGTGATGGGACATAATAATCAACTACATTGTATACTGACAAAATAAAAATGAAAAAAAAAAACAAAAACAAAGAGGGTCCTGATACCATTTTTAACACATATAATATTTATGGTGCATTTCAAGAGTATAACTATAATGTGCAATAGGCCTGGCCCTAAGGTCTGTACTGCTGCACCCTGGGGCCTAATCTCTGCAATGGACTCCTCTGAAAGGGCTGTATCACCTAATATTCATTATCTCCTTTTCTCTCACAATAATAGAACTCCCCAAATTTAGCTAAGTGCATGGCCACCCAGATTAATACCTACATTTTCAACCTTTCTTGCCATATATCTATAAACTGGCCAACATGATGTGAGCAGGAATAATGTGTGTAACTTCTGGTTAATATCCTTAAGGGAAGGGGGATGTTTTCCCTCCCACCAGCATTCTCTATCTCACACAAATCCTGCTACCTGGATGGAGGACATGATGATAGGCCATCCTGGACCATAACAATGGCAACATCTCAGGTGTGATGGAGTAACAAGCCAATAGCCTGGGTCCCTGGACAAACACTTGGAGCTGAGCTGCCATACCAGCTCCAGACTGCATTCCTCCGCAGTGCTATGTGAGAAAGCAGTAAACTCTATCTTGCCTGCCACTTGTTAATTTAGCTTGTGGTTTCACCCAGCCAAACTTATACCCCCCCCCCCCCCCCTACAAGAATGCCAGGCTGTGCCAGGTGTGTGGGTGGTATTGACCATGCAGACACCTTTGTACCTGGATGGAAACAGACTGAGAATCTTTTGGGTCACTCTGTGCTTCATTTTAACTTAGAATTTTAAGATTCAGCATTCAAGATGCAGGACAGAACCGCAGTATCTCAACAGGGGCCCAGAAAGCCTGAGAGGTAAGTTGCCCTAGGGCTGCCATGATGGAAGATGAGGGGACCCAAACCTATTTCTGATTTTCTAAAATCTGAGGAGTCCAGGCTGAGTACTTGGAATGGGCTACAAACCGAATTTTGAGGCAGTGCACATCACTTCTCCTTTCTGGAATTCAGTTCTCTCACCTGAAAAGTAGGATGATGGACGAGACTAACAGCTCTCTTCTGGGATGTGTATATAGTTAACTTAAGGAGGAGTGAAGTAATTTTTATCAGTTAATCATCTAAGTACATGCTTAAAGCACACAACACTGCAGAAGATCCTTCTAGAGGCTGTGGAAAATTTAGACTTTAATGACAGGCATGCATGAAGAATACGTAAGAAGATCACGCATGGAAACATGACAACAAACATAATTACACACAGCTGCACAGAAATTGGTCCACTACCTCCAGAGGGAGTGTAAATTGGTAAACCTCTTTGGAAAGCAATTTGGGATTACATAGTAAAGATGAAAATGTGCATACCCTCTGACCAGTTATTCCATTCTTGACAAATACCTAGAGAAACTCTCACACCTGCATACCAAGAGACATGTGCAGTGAAATTCTTTAAGTTACAAATAATCAAAATTTCCATAAATAGGGGAGTGGATAACACGTGGTATATTCATACAATGGATGTGGATACCTAAAATAAAGTGAAAGGACATGATCCATAGGTATTGTGGATATATCACCAAAACATAATGTTCAGTGACAAAAGCGAGTTGTGAAATATGTATGATAAACCATTTATGCAAATTTAGGATGCACTCAAAATAAATCATTATATGATGTGTGGATTTACGTATATGTGGAAAAGTATTAAAGAATGGAGGAGAAGGATATATATCAAACCCTGGAAAGCTTTTACCTCTGTGGAGGAGTGTGGGGTGGGGAGGGAAGGGACTAGGAATAGGTACGAAGGAGTTTTGAACTTTGTCAAGTTTCATTCCTTCAATTAAAATAAAAAATCCCTTATACTCAATGTAAGAAAGTAAAAAAAGAAAAAATTTGAAACAAATGGGACAAAATTTTCATATTTGCTAATTCTGGGTGTTAGCTTCATGGGTTTTATTTTCTGTTTTTTTGTACTCTTCTGAATTAAAAATATTTTCCCACATTCATAACAGAATCTCTCTTTGAGGCTCAGAGCCAGAGGAAAAGAAGTGGACAAAGCAGAGGGCCAGTGCCGGAGGATG